TGTGATTGTCCAGATACCCGTGCAGGCAAATGAGAACGACTGTGGTGTGTTCACGATGCGTGTGATGCACACGTTGGTCGAGGATGGTTTCCATAAACTACCGGCGTGTGAGCTTGTAGGGACGCCACTCCATTGGCGCCGTCAGTACCGTCACGATTTGAGGAAGTGGTCTGTGTATTTTCGGGCAAAAACAATGTTGGAGGTTGGAGGTGGGGCAGGCGGCGGTGATAAAGCTGGTAATGGGGCGGGTATCAAGCGAGAATGAGGCGGGAAGCATGGGGGAATGAGGCCCGAAGCAAGGGGGAATGGGGCCTGAAGCAAGGGAGAATGAGGCGGGTAGCAGTGAAGAATGGGGTGGGAAGCAAGGGGAAATGGGGTGGGTAGCAGGGGGGAATGAGGCCGGAAGCGAGGGGACATGAGGCGGGAAGCAGAGGGAATGAGGGGGGTCGCAAGGGAGAATGAGGCGGGAAGCAAGGGGGACGCGGCTCTGAAGCAAGGGGGAATGAGGGAGGTAGCAAGGGAGTATGAGGCCCGAAGCAAGGGGGAATGAGGGAGGTAGCAAGTGAGTATGAGGCCCGAAGCAAGGGGGAATGAGGCCTGAAGCAAGGGGGAATGAGGGAGGTAGCAAGTGAGTATGAGGCCCGAAGCAAGGGGGAATGAGGCCTGAAGCAAGGGGGAATGGGGAGGGTAGCAAGGGAGAATGAGGAGGGTAGCAGTGAAGAATGGGGTGGGAAGCAAGGGGGAATGGGGTGGCTAGCAAGGGGGGATGAGGCCGGAAGCGAGGGGACATGAGGCGGGAAGCAAAGGGGAATGAGGGGGGTAGCAAGGGAGAATGAGGCGGGAAGCAAGGGGAATTGGGGCCTGAAGCAAGGGGGAATGAGGGGGGTAGCAAGGGAGTATGAGGCCCGAAGCAAGGGGGAATGAGGCCTGAAGCAAGGGAGTATGAGGCCTGAAGCAAGGGGGAATGGGGAGGGTATCAAGGGAGAATGAGGAGGGTAGCAGTGAAGAATGGGGTGGGAAGCAAGGGGGAATGGGGTGGGTAGCAGGGGGGAATGAGGCCGAAAGCGAGGGGACTAGAGGCGGGAAGCAGAGGGAATGAGGGGGGTAGCAAGGGAGAATGAGGCGGGAAGCAAGGGGGACGAGGAGCTGAAGCAAGGGGGAATGAGGGAGGTAGCAAGTGAGTATGAGGCCCGAAGAAAGGGGGAATGAGGCCTGAAGCAAGGGGGAATGGGGAGGGTATCAAGGGAGAATGAGGAGGGTAGAAGTGAAGAATGGGGTGGGAAGCAAGGGGGAATGGGGTGGCTAGCAAGGGGGGATGAGGCCGGAAGCGAGGGGACATGAGGCGGGAAGCAGAGGGAATGAGGGGGGTAGCAAGGGAGAATGAGGCGGGAAGCAAGGGGGACGCGGCTCTGAAGCAAGGGGGAATGAGGGAGGTAGCAAGTGAGTATGAGGCCCGAAGCAAGGGGGAATGAGGCCTGAAGCAAGGGGAAATGGGGAGGGTATCAAGGGAGAATGAGGAGGGTCACAGTGAAGAATGGGGTGGGAAGCAAGGGGGAATGGGGTGGGTAGCAAGGGGGGATGAGGCCGGAAGCGAGGGGACATGAGGCGGGAAGCAAAGGGGAATGAGGGGGGTAGCAAGGGAGAATGAGGCGGGAAGCAAGGGGAATTGGGGCCTGAAGCAAGGGGGAATGAGGGGGGTAGCAAGGGAGTATGAGGCCCGAAGCAAGGGGGAATGAGGCCTGAAGCAAGGGAGTATGAGGCCTGAAGCAAGGGGGAATGGGGAGGGTATCAAGGGAGAATGAGGAGGGTAGCAGTGAAGAATGGGGTGGGAAGCAAGGGGGAATGGGGTGGGTAGCAGGGGGGAATGAGGCCGAAAGCGAGGGGACTAGAGGCGGGAAGCAGAGGGAATGAGGGGGGTAGCAAGGGAGAATGAGGCGGGAAGCAAGGGGGACGAGGAGCTGAAGCAAGGGGGAATGAGGGAGGTAGCAAGTGAGTATGAGGCCCGAAGCAAGGGGGAATGAGGCCTGAAGCAAGGGGGAATGGGGAGGGTATCAAGGGAGAATGAGGAGGGTAGAAGTGAAGAATGGGGTGGGAAGCAAGGGGGAATGGGGTGGCTAGCAAGGGGGGATGAGGCCGGAAGCGAGGGGACATGAGGCGGGAAGCAGAGGGAATGAGGGGGGTAGCAAGGGAGAATGAGGCGGGAAGCAAGGGGGACGCGGCTCTGAAGCAAGGGGGAATGAGGGAGGTAGCAAGTGAGTATGAGGCCCGAAGCAAGGGGGAATGAGGCCTGAAGCAAGGGGAAATGGGGAGGGTATCAAGGGAGAATGAGGAGGGTCACAGTGAAGAATGGGGTGGGAAGCAAGGGGGAATGGGGTGGGTTGCAAGGGGGGATGAGGCCGGAAGCGAGGGGACATGAGGCGGGAAGCAGAGGTAATGAGGCGGGAAGCAGGAGGGAGTGAGGCGGGTACATGGGAGGAATAAGTGTGTGAGTGAAGAACAAGGAAGCGGGTAGCATGGGGGAATGAGGACAAGATCAATACGGAATTGTTTGTTCATCCGTCCTGCCAGCTTGATATGCCAACAAACATGACACAAAGCGCAATGGAGAGGCCTTGAATCAGTCCTGCATGACTTGACAACAAGTGTGGCCAAATGAGAGTGTTGGCCACAACCAGTCCTCCATGTCTAGAGAACACTACCCGTAGGGAAGTGTTTGTCACTGGCGTTCCTGCTTGACATGTATACAAACAATACACAATGGGTCGGTGTGATGCTGCAAAACATACCTGCATGTCGCCACAACTCTAGTGGGTAGAACAGCAGGGGTTTCTCAACTCCGTTCCAGCATGAACCTAGAACATACAACACAGCATGGTCTTGGGTCCCTGCATAAAGGTTGCCCTGTATGGCATGAGAGCAGCCATGCCCCATACGGGGAGTTTGTGTCTGGCTCTATTACCGTATTATTGCACCTCAATTGGCATGAGAGGAGACATGCCCATACGCGTTGCATAACGACCAGGCAGCAATCAAATAATGCGTACTTACTAATCAATCGATGTATCAGAATGACTGCTCCACCGCAGACCGTTATGTACATGTTCTGTGAAGGTGGTGTTTGGTTTTACACTTTTATGTTGCATACTTGTCACTATGCTAATGGGTTAGGGGGACTCCTGTTACGAGTGCAATTGAGTGAGCGAACGAGGATTGCACTATCGGGAAAAAAGTACAACTGAGCGAAGGTATGAGCGAAAGGTTATATAGCGAAACCACAGTGGTAACGGTAATGAACTGTGGTTGTCGCGCGACGGGCATGGCACTAAGGTTGGGAAAATGTCGAGGCGAAGGTCCGGAGCGCGGGTTACCGCCGAGCCGTGAGGTCGGGGTGCGACGTGCGAAAGTGGGGGGCGGATTGTCGATGCGAGTGGTAACGGTGCTGACTGAGGTGCTATAGTGATGGACGCGTTGAGCAGGGATGCGAAGTAAGGAAAACGAGATTTTCCTTACAACTCCATAACCCCCTAATTCTATTTTTATCATTTACGTACACCACACTATTGAGGCTTTGCAAACTAATGTGCCATTACGTGCCCCGCCCTGCGCCATTCCACTCGACTCCACGCTATGCCACGTACGCGAATCTCCCTGATTTGCGAACCAGTCGCAACCACACACAAGGAACTTTTGAGTTTGCGTTTTTATCGCAGGCGTGCCGCAACGGCTTCGTGTCGACCTGTCGCATCGCTGTACGACTTGCTGCGATCGAGCGTCGCCGTTTCTCCGCAGACCCTATGTGACTCTTGACGTGCAGCTTGTGTAGGTTTGTGTGGCACGCGAGGCACTTCATTGTAAACAGTACGACAACCCGGGCAGAATAATTATGACCCTCGCAAACCCAGATACAGTAGCGCATTTGACTGTCGGGTTTAACAAAAAGAAGCCCACCCTGCCGCTTGTGGACTGATACTCAATTAAGCACGTTAGGTCCCACGGAATCTTAACACGGCAGTGCTGCATTTTTTTCCTTTATACACCTCAACCACCAGGCGATTGGTTGAGGGCGGAAAAGGGGGACCTGGTAGTCGCAACGTGCACCATAGCTGGAAACACTCAAACCCTCATCACCTCCGTGCTCCCCTTGCATGCCTCCAGCTGTGACGATCGTCTGCTCTAGGCCCCAGACTTTGCCTCGTCCCTCTCCCTCCTCAACCATTTTTTTATGCTCGTAGACTGCTGTCAGGTTCTAGGCGGTAGCACAACCCGCAACCTCATAGTACTGTGTGAATGGAAAGCTAGACATGGTAACAAGGAAGTCAGACAATGAAGGGGCCCGAGGGGGCGATCGTACTGGCTGAATCGACAAAAACCCCCGACGAAACAAAGTTTGCGGAGTTAGTAACAGCAGATAAGACGGCCGAGCTCGTAATCGAGTATCGCAAAAATAATGCATCGACGGCGCGAGATGTTGTTGATTCCAGACGTGTCTCGTCATCCGGTGACGAATCGAATAGCGACTGCGATGTGGAGCCATACGCAAACAAGGGCATATCATCCGCTTCGAAACCAAGGGATAAGCGCGTGAAGCGCTTAGATGATCTCGTTCCCAAAGGCGGCCAGAAAGGTATGTGTTTATGGTCGCAGATGCGGAATATTCTACTTGTATGCATGAATTGATGCTTGTAGTCGTGTCTGACCTGTTGGAGGTTATCGTCTCTCCAATTGTGTTTCCACATCAGCGATAGCGGACAAGCGTGACAACCGGGGGGGGCGTAAGCACCGTCCAAGAAAAAGAGGCACTCGTTCACATCGTGAGGAAACGCCTGCGTCTGAAGGCGACGAGGAGGGCAAAGACGGGGGACCTGACAGCTTAGGTACGCTGTGGGTGTGATATCGACGGTTTATATTTTGCACGTTACTCATAACAATGACGCCACATGTCATGCTGCAACTTCCTGCCAATAAGATAATGTGTGCACAGTATTTCTTATGTACCTGTCATGTCCGCCTTCGCAGATGGGACGGCAGGCCAACGCGCTCGTGGTGGCGGAAAGCGCAACGGCGGCAGGGCTGCCGTGGCCAAGGGCGGTCCCTCGGGCAGGCAGTCGCAGGATGCGGATGGAGGCGACGAGGGGGATCATGCCGAGCCGGAAGCTCGTGGTGGCGGAAAGCGCACCGGCGGCAGGGCTGCCGCGACCAAGGGCGGTCCCTCGGGCTCGCATGATGCGGATGGTGGCGACGAGAAGGATCATGCCGAGCCGGAAGCTCGTGGTGGCGGCATACGCAACGGCGGCAGGGCTGCCGCGGCTAAGGGCGGTCCCACGGGCAGGCAGTCGGAGGATGCAGATGGTGGCGACGAGGGGGATCATGCCAAGCCGGAAGCTCGTGGTGGCGGCATGCGCAACGGCGGTAGGGCTGCCGCGGCCAAGGCCGGTCCCTCGGGCTCACAGGATGCGGATGGTGGCGACGAGAAGGATCATGCCGAGCCGGAAGCTCGTGGTGGCGGCATGCGCAACGGCGGCAGGGCTGCCGCGGCTAAGGGCGGTCCCTCGGGCAGGCAGTCGCAGGATGCGGATGGTGGCGACGAGAAGGATCATGCCGTGCCTGCATGCCGTGGCGTTAACGATCATGATGAGGACGAGCCAGCAGCTGTGACTGATGGGAAAGGTGGACGTGAAGCTGTGATTCCCTACCAACGGCGCAAGGCTGTGGATCCGGGCAGTTGCGACCATAAGGCGAGACAAGCTCGGCACGGCCCCAATGTGCACGTTTCGAGCTCGTCTGGTTCCGAGGAAGATTCGAGCGACAGTGAGTCGGGCAGCTCATCCGGGAGTGAGGAGGTATACGAGGACGAGGTTGAGGAGGAGGAGGACGAGGATGATGAGGAGTTGGAGCCGGAGAGCGAGAATGGGGAGGAGGCTCGGCCTTTGAAGAGGAGGAGTGTGCGGAAGCTCAAGAAGGGCAACGCTAAGCAAAAATCGGAGAGGGGACGGGTGAAGATCTGTAAACAGAGTGTGCGTCGTGCCAAACCACATGGCAAGCGCCAGAGACCTCGATTCGAAGCTAAAATAGTGGGTGTGCGTAGCAAGGCGAAGCGGGAGTTGAATTTTTACGAATCAATGGGGATACGATGTCCATCAAACTCTCATGAACGGCAAGCCGCGGACCCGTACGCTGCGTTACGCGATCCGATGGGTTCGGCTGGGAAGGGAGATCAGATGGATTGGGGGTCAGCGCGGTTTGGCAAAGAAGCGACGGACCCGCCCCCCAACCATATGGGGGGTCGCGCGGTTCATGTGAAGAACGAGGGGGCAGCGAAGCGGCACGAACCCTCGGTAGCTCCAGCAGCGAATGACGGTGTGGGAGGAGGTGTGTGGGCGAATGCCTTGGGTGAATGTGGCGGCGGTGTGGAAGGTGTGAGAATAAGCGAACAGGAATGAATGAACTAGCAGTGAAATGAGTACAAGTAGGAAACCCTAGAATTGTGTACCCCCTATAGGCTAACCCACTGTAGCCTACACAAGCAGAACATATATAATGTTTGACACACCCCCATAGGCAAAGTGGGGGAGAACAAGGGGTCACAAGACCAGTCAAGCAAAGCAAAGCAAGCTCAGGGTGGATCACAAAGTCACCACACAGTCCGAGCACAAGAGCAGGGCCAGAGGCCAGTTCACATGCAGGAGTACAGACATATATATAAAACTAGACAAGCAAGAGCAGGTATATATATATGTCACAGTACAAGTGAAGTCAAGAGGAGAGCAAGTGAGGCAAGACAGGCACAAGACCCAGCTGGGTGCAAAAGCGCTGATGGTCACAAGGCGCGAGTGCCTTGGTGAACACATCAGCAGTGTTGGCCTCAGAGGCCACGAACGCAAGTCGCAACTAACCACGCTGCTGCAGCTCACGAGCAAGGAAGTAGCGGAGAGCAATGTGCTTCGTTCTGTGCTCCAAGCGCTGTTCTCGACACAAGGCCAGCATGGCCTTGTTGTCTACGTACAGCACTGGAGGAGAACGAGGTGGCTCTCCAAGGTCAGTCAGCAGGTAGGTGAGCCAGCGAAGCTCCTGTGCAGCCATGGCCCCGGCGTAGATCTCAGCCTCACAACTGGAGCCGAGAACCGAAGACGAGCGAGTAGACCGCCACGAGACAGAGCCGGAACCAAGGCTGAAGGTGTAACCCTGTGACGACCGCTGCGTAGCCTGGTCGTCAGCCCAAGAAGCGTCCGCGTGGCCGGTAAGGACCACTGGACTCCGCCCTCCAAGCACTAGCCCCATGCCCGACGTACTGCACAGGTAGCGCAATACCCTCTTCGCTGCAGCCATGTGCTCTGGTCTGTGTCTCCCAGGAGCAACATAGCGTGCAAGAATGCTCAGAGGGTATGCAAGGTCAGGTCGTGTGCAGGTCATCAGGTACATGAGGCAGCCAACAAGCTCTGCATACGGACCACTCGACTCTACGGACTCATCCGAAGGCAGAGCTGAGAGTGAGTGGCGAGTAGGCAGAGGAGTGGCCTGAGGCGAGGAGTACGTGAAGCCAAAGCGCTGAAGGACCTGCTGCACCATGTGTGACTGAGTCAAGGTAATGGTGCGGCGTGCTCTGTCCCGAGTGATCTGCAAGCCAAGGTAGCTGCGCAGTTCACCCAGGTCTGTGCACGTGTGTCTCTTCAGCAGTTCGGACTTCACGTAGGCGAGTCCAGCAGTGTCCGCTGTGGCAAAGACCAAGTCGTCGACGTACACGAGGATGTAGAACAGCGGCAGTGAAGTGTCGGTGCGCAGAAACAGCGACGGGTCAGCAGTAGAAGGAGCAAACCCAAGAGCCGCAAGCGTAGTCCTCAGTGTGTCGTGCCACTCACGCGGTGCCTGGCGGAGACCGTAGACTGGCCGTCGGAGGCTCCACTGGGTGCCAGGAGGGAAAGTCCCAGTGAAGCCAGGTGGACGGCGCAGCCAGATCTCCTCGTGCAGGCTACCCTGCAGGAACGCAGTGCTGAAGTCGAGAGAGTGAAGCTCGTAGTCGCGCTGAGCGGCTATGTGCAGCAGCACCCGAAGAGTGGTCATCTTCGGGGTGGGAGAGAAGGTCTGAAAGTAGTCAACTCCCTGCCGCTGACTGAAGCCACGAGCAACGTACCGTGCCTTGAAGACAGGTGGAGAGCCCGGCGGCCGCTTCACCCTGAAGATCCACATGCCACTGACGATGTTCGCCCCAGGAGGGGGAACCGCGTCAACGTAGGTGCCTGTGGACTTCCAGGAAGCCATCTCTGCATCCATAGCTGCCTGCCACTGAGAGGAGTAGGGACCCTCTACGGCCTCCGCGTAAGAACGCGGAGTCGGGATGTCTAGTGCATCCGGGTCTCCCTCAGGGGCAAGCAGTACCGACGCGAGCTGAGGTGAAGCAGCCGCTAGACACTGTAACTCCTCCTGCCTGTCCTCTAGGACGTCCGTGCCAAGAGCACACTCACCCCCGACGGACGGAGGACAGACAGACGCAGACTCAGCAACAAGACTAGCAGCGTAGTCGAGACGACAGCGAGCAGCAAAGTCAACGAGCTCAGCGACTAGAGCAGACGCAGCAGTGGACTCAAAAGAGGGGTCAGTGACGACAGTAGCAAGCAGACGCGTGACAGTAGGACTGGCAGCGCGAAGAAAGTCCGACTCAGGGTCGGCAAGCGCAGGAAGAGAGGACTCAGGAGGAGAAGGCAAAGGGGCACGCAGAGGAGCAGTGGACGGACGCAGAGACATCCGGTGCGTGCCAGGGACAGGAGGAGGACGCTGACGCGAACCGCGACCACTAGCGCGAGCAGCACGAACCGGCGACGCGGGACGAGACGCAGGCTCACGACGCTCAGCAAGACCTCCAGTAGGACCAGTGTAAGGAGAGGGAGCAGGCAGAGGAGAGGAAGGCTCCAACAGTGACTGCGACTGGACAGGCTGTGGACACTCTACCGAAGGAGAAAGACCAAGAACCTGCTGTAGGAGCGGAACGAAGTACGGCCGAGGCCGCGCGGCAGCTCCAGACTCAGCAGGGACAGCACCAGCACCCTCAGCGACAGCACCAGCGCCACCAACACCTCCAGCGGCAGGACCTCCAGCAGCACCAGCAGCAGAACACCGCCAGGACAGATAGCAGTAGTCTCAGCACCAACACCCTCAGCAGCTCCAGCTCCAGTAGGACCCGCAGGCCCAGCAGCTCCGGGACCGGCAGCACCAGCACCCTCGATGGTCGACGAAGCTCCAGCTCCAGCAGCACTCCTCCAACGGCGAGCAAACCACTCGCGCAGCTCCTGTGGAGAGAGGGGCTCCCGGCGAGACGCAGCAGCAGGAGAAACCCCAGGCTCAGCAGCTCCATACTCAGCACCCCCAAGCACAGCAGCTCCAGACGTAGCACCCCCAGGCTCAGCAGCTACAGACTCAGCACCTCCAGGCTCAGCAGCTCCAGACTCAGCACCCCCAGACTCAGTAGCTCCAGCTCCAGTAGGACTCGCAGGCCCAGCAGCTCCGGGACCGGCAGCACCCTCAGCAAGCGAAGAAGCTCCAGCTCCAGCAGCACGCCTCCAGCGGCGAGCAAACCACTCGCGCAGCTCCTGTGGAGAGAGCGGCTCCCGCCCAGCAGACGCAGGCTCCGCACCTCCAGGCTCAGCACCCCCAGGCTCAGCAGCTCCTGACGTAGCACCCCCCGGCTCAGCGCCCCCAGCAGCAGCACCCCCAAGCTCAGCACCCCCCGGCCTCGCACCCCCAGGCTCAGCACCCCCAGCAGCAGCACCCCCAAGCTCAGCACCCGCAGGCGTAGCACCCCCAGACTCTGCACCCGCAGCAGGACCAGACTCAGCAGCAACCTCGACTGGCTCGACTGTGTCTACCTGGGACACACCTGAAGGGGCAGGAACCTGAGGGGGGAGGGGGTCTACCGGGGGGGGAACTGGCACCAGGAAGTCCGGTGGGGGGGGGAGGGAATGAGTACGGTAGGGGAAGTGGCGGTAGAAGGGGACTGACTCGTCGAACGTGACATCCTGGGAGGACAGAACACGACGAGAGGAGGGGTGGTAGAACTGCCACCCTGGAGCGTCAAGGGGGAAGCCTAGGAAGACACAGGGAGCAGCACGGGGGGACAGCTTGTCCGCAGACAAGTCGCGGACAAACGCCCGAGATCCCCAGACACGGAACGCAGACGCATCGCCGACCTTCCCCGTCCACAGTAACACTGGGGACATCGCGGGCCGAGAGACCCTGGGGTGAAGGTTGAGCTGATGCGCCGCGTACCTCACCGCAAACGGCCACAGAAAATGGGGGGCAGCCGCATGCATCATGGACGTACGAGCGACATCCATGACCATGCCAATGCGGCGCTCAGCAATCCCATTTTGCTGTGGAGAGTCCGGAAGCGTAAAGGTCTGGCGGATCCCCTGTGCACGACAGTAGTCTCGCAGAAGGCGAGAGGAGAACTCCCCACCTCGGTCAGAGTGCAGACGCAGAACAGGAAAGTCCGAGCCGAAGCTCCTCCTGAGCTGGAGACGAGCCTCGCGGATCCAGTCGATCAGCACCTCAGTGACAGCACCCTTGCTGCGCAAGGGGAAGACTGAGGTGTAACGCGAGTAGTCGTCAACCACCAACAGGAAGTAGCGCTCGTGACCCTGCCCACGGACGGGGGCCAGGCCCCACACGTCCATGTGAAGCGTCTGCAGAGGAGCCTCTGTCGGGGGAAACTGGGAGGAGTGAGGAGCAGCCCTGAGGCGCCCCTCGACACAGGGGACACAGGAAGGTCCTGGTCCCGAAGGAAGGGGAGGGAGAGACTGGGGAAGACCAGAGACAAGGACACGGGAAGCCATGCCCCGAAGACGGGGCAAGGAGGGGTGGCCTAGACGGTGGTGCCACAGAAGAGTCTCGTGAGACAGGAGGCGACACGAACAGGGGGCAGACTCAGGACCAGACCTGGACGCAACAGCAAACACCTGACCCGACGCTGCTACCTGACCGGACGCGGGGACAGGAGGAGACTCAGTGGTCAGGGTGTAGAGGCTCGACCCCGGCCGACGCGAGAACGTGGCCAGGTGCCGGCCTGTGCGTGCGTCCGTGCAGTGGGTCACCCGCTGACTCGCAGGAGTGAACTGGTGAACCCCCGCATCCTGTAGGTCTGCACCACTCACCAAGTTCGTCGAGAACGAGGGGAGGTACAGGCCAGACAGGGTGCCCGAGGGGGCAGCCGGACACGGGAGGACAGTGGAGAAGTGAGCGAGGACAGGACCCCCAGAGGGGTCAGCCAGGGAGACAGCAACCGGCCGACCAAGCGGCGTGAGTGTGGTGCGGTCCCGAAAGAAGGAGCGAGAAGCCCCAGAGTCAAGTGTAAAGGTGAGGGAGGCCGAAGCCAACGCGGTACCTGAGAGCGCAGCCTCACCCGCACCTGAGGAAGCAGACTCACTAGCACCTAGAGCAGCAGCCGCACCTGTACCTGGAGCAGGAGACTCACTAGCACCCAGAGCAGCAGCCTCACCAGTAGCTAGAGCAGCAGGTCCTATACCTGGGTCAGGCGGGACGCACAGGTGACCGGCATGGTCAGCACTAGTAGGCAATGCATACATGGCAGTGAGAATAGCATCATAGTCAAGAGCATATATATCTACCCTCTGCCTAAGCAACTCCACCCAGTCGGGAAGCTCAGCCTCGTCGCCAAACACGGTACGCCAGGCGTCGCTCAGACGGGCGAAGCAGCGGGACTGTGTATGACTACGTGTCCCACAAGGCTGACCAGTCCGAGTACCAGTGCGAATCACGTAAGAGCAGCGAACAGCACTGAGAGACCCTCCACTCTGAGCGTACCACTCACGAAGCTGGCGAGGCGTGAGAGACACGCGAGAGGGTCGCGGGAGCTGCATCTGGCCGCCACCACAAGTAGAAGCAGCAGGAGTGGAAGTAGGAGTAGCGTCGCCACCCCTACAGCTCCAACCAGCGTACCACTCACGCAGCTGCTGGGGCGTGAGGGACTCACGCAGGCGTCGCTGGGGCTGCATCTGGCTCCGCAAGTAGAAGCAGGAGCAGGACTAGCAGCAGGAAGGCAGGCATCCAGGCAAGCCAAAAGGCAGGCAGGCAGGCAAGCAGGCGACGCGCAGCGTGCTAGCAGGGCAAGAGCTCACCCGTGGTGGGAAGAGTAGGCTCGGCGACTCAGCGGCTCGGCAGCTCGGCGGCTCGGCGGCTCGGGCGACTCGGGCGGCTCGGCGGCAAGGCGGCTCGGCAGCAACTGCAGCTCAGCAGCTAAGCGACCCGGTGGCTCGGCGGCAGGGCGGCTCGGCTGCAGGGCGGCTCGGCGGTGGGGCGGCTCGGCTGCTGCAGGTGAGCGATGAAGGAGGAGGAGAAGCAGGGGAGGCCACACACCTGCCACCCCTCTGCTGGCCTCTCAGGTCGCCTCGACAGGCGACGGGAAAAGGGGGGGTGGGTGGTGGGGGCCGGTAGGTGCAGCGGCGGGGCCAGCAGGTGCAGTTGCGGGGCCGGTAGAAGGGGACGGCAGCCTGGGCGGTCGTGGGCGGCTCACGCTGGGCGGGTGCACGGGCGGCTCGGCGGGCGGCGTACAGGCAGCTCACGGGCGGCTGCGACGGGCGGCTCGCGGGCGTCTGGCGCTAGGGCGCTGGGGCGACGACGGGCGGCGCTCAGGCGTCAGGGCGGGCGGCCGTCAGGGCGCTAGGGCGGGCGGCGTTTAGGCGTCAGGGCGGTCGGCCGTCAGGGCGCAAGGGCGGGCGGCGCTCGGGCGCTAGGGCGAGCGGCGCACGGGCGCTAGGGCGGGCGGCCGTCAGGGCGCTAGGGTGGGCTGCGCTCGGGCGCTAGGGCGGGCGGCGCTCGGGTGCTAGGGCGGGCGGCCGACAGGGCGCTAGGGAGGGCGGCCGTCAGGGCGCTAGGGCGAGCGGCGCACGGGCGCTAGGGCGGGCGGCCGTCAGGGCGCTAGGGCGGGCGGCGCTCGGGCGCTAGGGCGGGCGGCGCTCGGGCGCTAGGGCGGGCGGCCGTCAGGGCGCTAGGGCGGGCGGCGCTCGGGCGCTAGGGCGGGCAGCGCTCGGGCGCTAGGGCGGGCGGCCGTCAGGGCGCTAGGGCGGGCGGCCGTCAGGGCGCTAGGGCGGGTGGCGTTCGGGCGCTAGAGCGGGCGGCCGTCAGGGCACTAGGGCGGGCGGCCGTCAGGGCGCAAGGGCGGCGGCGCTCGGGCGCTAGGGCGGGCGGCCTTCAGAGCACTAGGGCAGATCGAAAAAAAAAAAGAGGTACTAGGGCCCGGAGCGCGCTCCGGGCAGGAAAAAAGGTTAAGAGGTAGCGGTGGTGGGCCCTACGAACAGTTCCCACAGGGGAACCTGCTCGATACCATGTGAGAATAAGCGAACAGGAATGAATGAACTAGCAGTGAAATGAGTACAAGTAGGAAACCCTAGAATTGTGTACCCCCTATAGGCTAACCCACTGTAGCCTACACAAGCAGAACATATATAATGTTTGACAGAAGGCTCCATGTGGGATGTACGGGAGAGCAGGGGAGAAGGGGGGGACGAAAAAATGGATCCGACGACTAAGGAGGGGAGGGGAGAGAGCATGGGCACACCTGGCGCATCCAGTCGGCCGGATGTGGCTGGCGGCAGGACTGTGGAGCAGCTCATGCGAGAGCTTGCCCAGCGGGATCGCGAAATCGCTGCACTCAAGGCAAGGCCAGGATCAAAAGGAGCTGTCAAGCCCTGCACCCCTGCATCTAGGCCTCCTCCTCTAGCATCTCTGTCGAGCGGCCCATCTATAGGGGGCCTCGATCCAGACGTGGCGCCAGAAAGCCCAGCGACGGTAGACGTACCGGTCCGTCGAACGCGTGGGATGCCCACACCCAAGCTGCTGAAGGTGAGATTGTTTTAGTGTTAAACAATGTGTGGCATGGGGCTTTGTGATAGCTGCAGCTCTCTCTCTCAACCCCTCTTGCTGCTGGTAAGCGTGTTTGTGGCATTATGCGCAGTGATAGCGGCAAGTCTGCAGTGGGATAGGCATTCCCAGTACGCCTCGCTTCAGGGACGTGGCGCTGGGCGTACGATGCTCTCACATTCTGCCCGCGACCCAGAGCTCACCATAGCAGTTATCCATCCTCCATTGGCCCCTCTCTCCCATCCCTTCCCACCCTAAACCAGAGCCCCTGTTCATGGTGCTGGTGCTGGTGTGGGTGGCACGCGGCGCAAGGATAGCTCATTGTAGCAGTTATCCTTCCTATCCCTCCCCCCTCTCTCCCATCCCTCGCCTAGCTCTTCCAGAGCCCCTGTTCCTGGTGCTGGTGGTGGTGTGAGTGTCATGCGGCGGATGGATAGCTAAGAATAGCAGTTATCCTTCATCTCACTTCCCCCTCTCTCCCATCCCTCCCCTCCCTCTGCGAGAGCCCCTGTTCCTGGTGCTGGTGGTGGTGTGGGTGTCATGCGGCGGAGGGAATAGAGGAAGCCGTATCCGTCAACCCCATGCGGCCCCCTTTCTGTCCGCCGCTCCTCCCTCCCCTCTCTATCCCGTCCCTCTCCCTCCTTGTCCAGAGCCACTGTAAAAGGTGCTGCTGGTCACGCGTGTGGCATGCGGCGTAGCGTGCAGGGGGGTGGCTGCAGTGGAAGTTGAGACTCCTCGTACGAGGAGAACATGAACCCTCGCGCTGGGCGTACGTTGCCCTCTCACTCTGCCTACTCTCCCATCTTTCGCTCTGACTATTTAATCCCCTCTCTCTCCACTCTCACTCGTGCATCGCTCCCCTACCTCAACCAGAGCTCCTGTTCATGGTGCTGGTGGTGGGGTGGGTGTCATGCGGCGGAGTGATCGTAAATCGCAGCAGTTATCCTTCCCATCCCTCCCCCCTCTCTCCCATCCCTCCCCTCCCTCTGCGAGAGCCCATGTTCATGGTGCTGGGGGTGGTGTGGGTGTCATGCGGCGGAGGGATAGCTAAGCATAGCAGTCATCCTTTATCTCACTCCCCACTCTCTCCCATCCCTCCCCTCCCTCTGCGAGAGCCCATGTTCATGGTGCTGGGGGTGGTGTGGGTGTCATGCGGCGGAGGGATAGCTAAGCATAGCAGTCATCCTTCATCTCACTCCCCTCTCTCTCCCATCCCTCCCCTCCCTCTGCGAGAGCCCATGTTCATGGTGCTGGGTGTGGTTGTGGAATACATGTCATGCGGCGGAGGGATAGCTAAGCATAGTAGTCATCCTTCATCTCACTCCCCTCTCTCTCCCATCCCTCCCCTCCCTCTGCGAGAGCCCCTGTTCATGGTGCTGGGGGTGGTGTGGGTGTCATGCGGCGGAGGGAATAGAGGAAGCCGTATCCGTCAATCCCACGCGGCCCCCTTTCTGTCCGCCGCTCCTCCCTCCCCTCTCTATCCCGTCCCTCTCCCTCCTCGTCCAGAGCCACTGTAAAAGGTGCTGCTGGTCACGCGTGTGGCATGCGGCGTAGCGTGCAGGGGGGTGGCTGCAGTGGAAGTTGAGACTCCTCGTACGAGGAGAACATGAACCCTCGCGCTGGGCGTACGGTGCCCTCTCACTCTGCCTACTCTCCCGTCTTTCGCTCTGACTATTTTATCCCCCCTCTCTCCCCTCTCACTCTACCATCGCTCCCCTACCTCAACCAGAGCTCCTGTTCATGGTGCTGGTGGTGGGGTGGGTGTCATGCGGCGGAGTGATCGCTCACCATAGCAGCTATCCTTCCTCTCCCTGCACCCTCTCTCCCATCCCTCCACCACCTCTTCCAGAGCCCATGTTCATGGTGCTGTTGTTGGTATGCGAGCCATGCGGCGCAGTGATGGCAACAGCCCTCTCTCTCAACCTCTGAATTCCGCCCTTCATTCGGAGGCATCACTCAATTTTACGTTTCGAATCCACCCGTCCGTCATAGGTTCATTTCGCCGTGGGGCGGGACCGAATGTGCCTAGAATGGCCAGACGATGCCATAGACTTCTACCCAACGCTCGAACAGCGCCTTCAGGTTTTGTATCAGGCTATCAGCGAGACGCACATAATTAAGCTGATGCAGCTGCGAGAGGCTATGGAAGACAAAAACATCGTCGACGGCTTCAAACGCGCTTGGACGTCATGGAAGAACGATCGTGGCTTCCACCTCAAGCGCAGAGTGCTTGTAACTTTCGGCAAGAATGTGCAAGGCCTGCGTGCAACCGATCTCTGGATGGGCACCAAGAAGAAGAAGAAGATGTGGAGAAAATACCAACCGAGTGAGTACGCGCGTTTCTGTTTTACTTCACCATTCATTTCATCTGCTCGTGCACCCCTCGTGGCGATGATGAACAACTTACCCTAATGCATCCCCACTGTGGCACGCAACTACATACCTGCTCTCCTTGCCCAGCCTTGTAGCGCATGTGCAGTCACATCCGCATGACAGCTTAACGTTGGTTCTTCTCCCACTGTCCCCTTCTCCCGCCCCCCCTTTAATCTACACCTCTCCCCTTCCCTCCCGCCATCCCGTTCTCTCCCTCCCTCCATTTCTCTTCAGCCATCCCCTTCTATCCCGCCCTCCATGTCTCTCCTGCCCTCCCCCTCTCCCCTGCCCTCCCCTTCTCTCCTGCCCTCCCCTTCTCTCCCGCCCTTCCCTGCTCTACTGCCCTCCAGCCAACCCTCCATTCATTCTATACCGCCCTCCACTTCGTCCATACCCTTTGGACAACCCCTAAACCATGTCGTGCATGATCTTCGTCCCCGCCTTGTCCTGCGTGCGCGCAGGAGGGAATCAGCAGGTCAGCTCGTGGGGAAACAGCAGAGACGGGCTCCCGTTTGCCAACGGCCGGTTTGTAGATGCGGTCCGGGAAGCATTTCGGAATCTCTGTGTCGGGCGCCGGGTGTGCGTCAAAGCCTACCACATTGCCTGGTCAATCATGGTGGTAAGGCATTATTGCTCTCCCGTCAGTTCGCTCTAGCTTTGCCTGCAATTCTTGCCCGCCAGACTGGAATGTGGGGCTATTTGCGCAGCCCGTGAACACTACACGCGAGTGTCCACATATGTCTCTATTTCCCCTCTTTCCCATACTTTGCTACGCTTTTTCAGATTGACCAGGGCTTGGCAAAGGTTAAGAAGACCGACTGGAACGTCTCGAACTCCCACCGCAAGAACACCGAGTGGATGACGGGTTTGCACCGAAATGTGCGGTGGATTATCAAGGACCACTTCACACGCCACACCCCCGTGTACAACACAGTCGTGCAGGGCTTCAAGTGGGGCAACCGTGGCCTGTATGTTCACGAGTCAGGATTTGAGGCGTTCAAGGGGAAGGCCGTGCCTGACGAGGAGAAGAAGGACTTGAAGGAGGAAGAGCAGGAGGTGTACGACGCGGAGGACTTGAAGACGGATGACAAGGAGGATGACGAGGATCAGGAGGAGGAGGAGGAGGAGGAGGAGGAGGAGGAGGAGGAGGAGGAGGAGGAGGAGGAGGAGGAGGAGGAGGAGGAGGATGAGGAGGAGGAGGAACAGTGGGGGCAGGAGCGGAGGAAGAGCAAAAGGCACAAGAGATGCAAAAGCAGGGGGGCGGGAGCTTAGGAAGGGCAGAAGGCAGAAGAGAGGGAAAATCAGAGGAAGCAAGGGGGAAGAGGAAGAGGATGAGGAGGAGGAGGAGGGGGAGCAGGCGGATGAAAATCATAGGGGGCAGGAGAGGAGGAAGGGCAGAAAGCACAAAAGAGGCGGAGGCAAGGGAAGCAGGAGGGAAGAGGAAGAGGAGGAAGAAGTGGAAGAGGAGGAAGAGGATGAGGATGAGGATGAGAAGGGGGGGGGCCAGGAGCGAAGGAGGGGCAAAAGACACAAGAGTGGCAAACGCCGGGGAGGCAAGAGGGTCAAGCGATGGGGCGAATAAACAAGGGGGGCAGCAGATGAGGCATGAGTGGAGTTTACAAGGGGGGGCAGCAGGATAGGCATCACACACTTGCGAGGAGACATCAAAACGGAGGTAGAGGCATTGGTGGAGACAGCAAGGGGGGCAGCACGCCAGGCAAGAAAGTAGAGTCAGCATGGGGGGTAGCACGGGCGGCAAAAGCGTGGAGTCTGCAAGGGGGGCAGCAGTAGAGACAATGTGAGGAGTGTCCAAGGGTGGGCAACCAGCAAGGCAACCAGATAGTGCAAGAGGGTGCAGCAGAAAAGGCATGAGTTGAGAGAGTTGGGGGGGCAGCAGAAAAGGCACGAGCAGATAGAGGGGAGTGCACAAGGGGGGCAGCAGGTTAGGCATGACCGGAGCAAGCAGCAGTAAAGGCAAGACTGGGGAGCGCCAGGGGCGGAGCAGCAGACGCATGAGAGGGCAGAGCATGCAATGAAGCAGTGGACGCAGGGGCACGCTCAACCTAGAGCACCAGAGATGGGGTTCGGTGGAAGACATAGTGTACTGGAGCATGCTAAGCAGGTTGTAGGATGCAGCTCAACCTAACTGACTAGGCACAGAGGGTTTAGGATGCTGTTTTATGTGCGTTTTTAGGGTGGAATTATCAGCTTTTACCAAAGCTTCTGTACTGTTCATTTTGAATGCAAGATTGAGGCAACTTAACATAGTTTTAAAATACATCTAAGGTCGTGCAAGTCTCCTACATAAGCTTATTTTAATGAACCCGAAATCCCATAAAGAGTACATTGCAATGAGATCCGATCTTCGAAATTGCTCTGCGGAAACTTGTACCAAACTTCTTCCGAAGGTGTTCACCTGGCAAGTTTGAACAGAAAAGCATTGGAGAAGCATTTGAAAAGCGTTCGAGAAAGCATTTGGAAAGCAACCTATACTTTCTCAAAAAAGCGTTCGAAAAACGTCGTTCATGAATCATTCGACAAAACTCCAAAGCAACTTTTTTCATCGGTTTTCCGGATGCAGGATTTTTGTGATGCGCTGCGTCACCACACTAATCCATTGTGTCGTTGCTCAGCTTAGCACGTCTCGCCTGCCTTCTTTCCGTCTGAAGAGACATGGCCGACCGGCGCGGCTTCTCCTTCCCTCCGCTGCTGCTGCTGGCGGGGCTGCTTCTGCTGGCGCCGTGCCCTGCTGCCGCCACTCTCATCAACGACGCCCAAGGTCGCTCGCTCCCCCCCATACCTGCACCCCTCCTCGCCTCTCACTTTCCCCCGCTCTACCTACTCTACCCCGCTCTACATAGTACTCTACCCCACTGTACCTACTCTACCCCTCACTAGTACCCCTCCCCACTCCACTCTGTAACCCCATCCACAACCCCCTTCCCGTTGATTTACCTCCCCTCCCTCCAACCAGCCTCTCCCCCTTTTGTTCTTCCACTCCCCAACCTCCGCTGCTCTCTTCCCCCTTTCCTCCCGCCCTCATGCCCCACACAACAGCCCCCACCATGGCCAACATATACCAAGCTGTCTCAAGCCCCCGCTGCTATGCTCCCTCGCTGCTATTCCTCTGTTCTGGCTTCGTGCACACCCTCATCATGCACACTGCTCGCAAAATACCCAACTCACTCCCCATCCTTCAACCTCCCTTTCCCCTACCTCCCTCAGGGAGTCCCTCCTGCCTCTTCGGCCTTACCTCCCCCTTCCCTCCCCCCACGCTCACCCTGCCTGTCCCCTGCCTCCCCTACGAGCCCCTGGCAGCGCGGGTGCTGGAAGAGTGCGCTACAGAATGGGGCTCTTACGAGTGGCACGGTTGGGAGTTTCCGCCGCCCGATTGGCGGGTGGGGGGCGACTGTGAAACGGCGGATTTAATCAAATGCGACGACAATGGGCTCATCACTGAAATGTGGATCGACAACTCGCCCATCCCTGATTGGCAGTATGATTACAGGTAGGGAGGAGGAGATGTGGGGAGAGCGGATGCGGAGAGAGGATGGAGGGAGGGAGGGAGGGAGGGAGGGAGGGAGGGAGGGAGGGAGGGAGGGAGGGAGGGAGGGAGGGAGGGAGGGAGGGAGGTCTGCGACACCCAGGGGAGGGCGCGGTGGGCCACAATGGCCACTGACATTTCGTCACTGTGTTGTAGCTGTGCTTCACTCTTCTGCTGCTTCTGTGCCTGTTCGTGCGTGTGCGTGCATATGTGCGCGCGCGCGTGCGTACATCCGTGTGTGTGTGTGTGTGTGTGTGTGTGTGCGTGCGTGCGTGCGTGCGTGTGTGTGTGTGTGTGTGTGTGTGTGTGTGTGTGTGTGTGTGTGTGCTTGCCTGTGTGTGTGCATGTGTGCTTGTGTGCCCTGAACACAACACAACAGGTATACTGAATCGCCGCCACCTCTAACTGGATCCATCCCAACATCGCTTGGCACTCTCACCTCTCTCACCTGCCTGTACATCTCGCAGCTTTATGAATGCCTTTTAGCTGTCTGTGCACTTCCCTCACCACTCTGTTTACCCGTATGCCTCTCCAAAGCGAGACGTGCAAGCATTTTGCAGCGGCTTCATGCTCTTACCACTCTCTAACCTCTTTTACCACTCTACATGGCTCCGTACGCTTTCACACATACCCGCTGTGTGATTTTTTAGGCATCTCGAGGCAACTTTTGTATGACGCATCTAGGGAACCCTGTATGTGCAGTGTGCATTTTCCTTTCCTGGCCAGCAGTAGCCCTTAGACACGGTCGAACTCGACGGTGTTCCTTTCGAACACTTTCAAACACCCCTCCAACTCGAACCGAACATGTTCGGTTTGACTCAAACACTTTTTCCAAACAGTGGTGTTCGATGTTCGCCCATGGGGGCGAACAGATAACTGTTCGCTCCAAACACGAACGTGTTCGGTTCGAGCAGCCCTCTTCCCCCCTCTAAAGCCTCTCCCCTCCCCCTCCACAGCCCCCCAACCCCCCTCCACACCCTCTCCTTTCAGTGCCGTTGAGCTTCAATCGCGACCTAGACACGCCGAACACATAAACACGTTTGATGTTCGATGTGCCTGCACAACAGAGTTTCAAACAGTCGAACATGTTCGCCCCGAACAATTAGATGTTCGGCCGAACATTTTCTGCAAAAAAAAAAAAAATATTGTCGAGTCGAACCGAACAGGGGTTCAATTTTTTGCTCATGTCTAGTAGCCCTTTCCAGGCGCTCCTCATCCATCTCCCCCGAAACACCTTACGAAGCACTCAGAGGTTAAGAAATGGTATCTCTTCATCCGTCTCTTTGATTACCGTGTCTCACCCTATTCTCTATCTCTTTGTTTGTCATGCCTCACCCCCTCTCTGCTGTGCTGCGACCTATGCTGATACCCTTTTCAGGCGCCTGCCTTTGTCCTTTGTACTCAGTCCCCACTTATTGCCCCATCCCACACCCTCTGTGCTGTCATCCTACATGTGCATCCACATCCTTCCCAGTCGTATCCACCCCTTCGCCCATTCTCACCGGCTGTTTCTTTGCTCCTCACCTTCTGTGTGCTGTGCTGTGGTGCAACTCGCGCAGAAATCTGCGTCACAACGCCCTAGAGGGTCCCATCCCGGCATCCTTCAGCGCGCTCACCTCACTCTTCCACCTGTAATGGAGGGGGAGGGGGATGGGGGGGAGTGGGGAGGAAGGGAGGGAAGGAAAAAGGGAGGGAGACAGGGAGGGTGATTGTCTTTGTCTCATGCTTCTGCATTCCTCGCGTGTCTTAACCTGTCCGTCATAACCCACCTCCTGATCTCCACTCCCACGTTGCTATGCCATGCTTACTCCCATATCTCACTCCTGTGTCTCACTCCCATGCCATGTCTTGCTCCTATGCCATGTCTCACTCCTATGCCATGTCTCACTCCTATGCCATGCTTTACACCCATGCCATGTCTCTTTCCCGTACCATGTCTCACTTCTATGCCATGTTTCACTCCCATGCTTTCATCATATCATTGGGGGATGTAGCATCGGCAAGTGTAGCGTTGGGTATCGAAGCATTGGGCAGGCAGCATTGCGCACAGCATCGGCCAACGAAGCATAGTGCAGGGCAGGAGTGGGCAATGCAGCATTAATTAGTGCATAATTGATCAACGCAGCATTGGGCCCGCAGCATAGGGTAGCGCAGCATTAATTATCGCAGCATTGGGTAAGGCAAGAGTGGGCAACGCATCATGGGCAGTGCAGCATAAAAAATGCACCAATGAACAGCGCCTCATTGGTCACCGTGGTATTGGGCAACGCAGCATTGGTCGGCAGAGCATTAGACAGCGCAGCAGTGGGCAGGGCATTGGCGGGAAATGCAGCATCATTGGGCTGTGCAGCATTGGCCAGCACAACATTGAGCAGCATTGCAGTGTGCACACATTACCGAGCACGGCAGCATTTGGTACACACAGCATAGGTAATGCAAGGTTGCGCGACGAAACATGATTCAGCGCAGCATTAGGCAATCCATCATTGGTCGCTATTCTGCATTGAGGAACACGGCAGTGGGCAGTGCAGCATTGGGAAGCGCATCACTGGATAGCAGCATGGGGCAGAGCAGCATGGAGCAGAGCAGCATGGAGCAGAGCAGAACTTGGCAGTCCAGCATTGGGCCATGCATCACTGGGCAGTCTAGCATTGAGCAACACGAGGCTGGGTAGCACAGCATTGGGCAGTGCAGCATCATCTCTTGCCAATTTTCCCCGTCGCAGCGATCTCTCCAACAACCAGCTGTCGGGTGCCATTCCTCTTGACGCTCTCACGGCCCTCCAAGAACTGTGAGTGTGACAGTCATTGGCAACCTTTGATCACCGAGCAACCCATGTCATCATAACGACCACGTGCCATGCCAACGTCCCGCATGTCCCCCACCGCAGCGATCTCTCCAACAACCAGCTGTCTGGTGCCATTCCCCCTGGCATAGGCGCCCTCACATCTCTTCACTACGTGTGAGTGTGCCAGTCATTGGCAAACAAGGAGCCATAGACGACGAAGCAACATAGGCAATGCCACTCATGCTTGGAACGGCAGCAACCATAGGGAACTTGAAAAAGAGCGCTTGATTTAGAAAGAACGGAAGTATCAAACGAAGTTAGGATATGTTCTTGGCCGGTGTCTAACTCGCTGACACAAGGATATCGACAATTTCGATCGTTCCATATCAGCATCTTTCTAATCTCAACCCTTTACAGCTTTGTCTCAGGAGATTAGACAGTGGTCAAGAACGTACCCGTAGGTAAAACAAATCTGATGGCAAAAACTGCTTCACCAAAAGTAATCATGGTGCAACTTGTAAGGGAGTTGGAGACTCACTCGAGCTCCAAACCTCTCCTAGTGGTGTGACGATCTCAAGTGTCTTCATCAGGACCGTTAAGAAGCCATGCATCGCCCACACCAATGAATTTGGCCAGTTACGCGCGCACCTTCATGCAATAGAATGGTTACCCACGTAAGAAAGATGTGATCTGATGGCGCATCAAGAACCATAGAGGAGCAATCCGTAGTGTTTGCTCCATGGAAGGGCAATGTGGGTGCGTGCCTGCCGTGGTCCTCACGTAGATTGTGATCGGCCCTCATAAGCGCCCTCACGGCCCTTCAAGTGCTCTATGTGTGCAAGCCATTGGCCACCATGCAACTATTCATCACCGAACGATCCATGCCTTCCTCCCATGCCACGTCTCACTCCCATGACATGCCTCAGCCCTGTGCCATGTCTCAATGTGAGAAAATGAGTAGAATCCACTGATTAGAAAGAGAGGTACATGGACTTAGTAAGGAGAAGCTAGGAGGGGTCGGGTGGATAAGGTGTAATCAAGAGGGAATCCATACAAATTGAGAAGATTTTGGATGGATAGGTTTGGATGAGTTTGGATAGGTTGAGGATGAAAAGCCTACACCCAACTTAACCAAAAGTTAAACTCACTAAAAGTTAAAGATCAATAAGCAGGATGCAACCTATTTCCAACACTCTCTCCCATGCTGTCACCATACGCCCCACGTGCCATGCCAACGTCCCAACCCAACCACTCGGCATCTCCCCTTGCCCGCACGTCTCCCGTCACAGCGATCTCTCGAAAAACCAGCGTCACGTGTCCCCAAACTGCCCTTTATGCCCAAGATGCCCCATGCCCGACATGCCCCATGCCCGACATGCCCCATGCCCGACATGCCCCATGCCCCACATGTCCCGCCACAGCTATCTCTACAACAACCAGCTGTCTGGTGCCATTCCCCCTTCCATAGGCGCCCTTGCATACCTTCGGTACCTGTGAGTGTGCCAGTCATTGGCAAACAAGCAGCCATAGACGACCAAGCAACATTAGCATTGCCACTCATGCTTGGGAAGGCATTAACCATAGGCACCTTGACAAAGCGCTTGAGCTAGAAAGAACAGAATAAGTAAACGGTCTTAGCTAAAACGAATCTAGTGGCAAAAGCTGCTTCACCAAAAGTAATCATGGTGCAACTTGTAAGGGAGTTGGAGACTCACTCGAGCTCCAAACCTCTCCTAGTGGTGTGACGATCTCAAGTGTCTTCATCAGGACCGTTAAGAAGCCATGCATCGCCCACACCAATGAATTTTGCAAGTTACGTGCGCACCTTCATGCAATACAATCGTTACGCACGTAAGAAACACTTGATCTGGCACGATTTTTGAGGCACCTCAAGAACCATAGACTGACCAGCAATCCGTAGTGTTTGGTGCATGGAAGGGCAATGTTGCCTTGGGTTGGGTGTGTGCCTGCTTTGGTCCTCACGTAGATAGTGATCGGCCCTCATAAGCGCCCTCGAGGCCCACCGAGAGCTGTGAGTATGGCGGCCATTGGCCACCAAGCAACCATTCATCACTAAGCAATCCATGCCTCGCTCCCATACCATGTCTCACTCCCATGCTGTCAACATAACCCCCACGTGCCATGCCAACGTCCCAATCACTCCCCATCTCCCCTGTCCCGCATGCCCCCCGTCACAGGAGTCTCTCCAACAACCAGCTGTCTGGTGAAATTCCTCCCACCATAAGTACCCTCACATCCCTCGAAATCATGTGAGTGTGCCAATGATTGTCAACCATCATAGGCAATCAAGCAGCCCCTAGCATGTATTACTCCCATGACATGCCTCACAACATGCTTTCAGAAAGCATTCCCACGAAAATGGGCAACTTGGTTCGGCTTGAGGGCCTGCCAGTGGAACCACCTTCCTCCCTGTCCCCACCAGCCCATACCATACTCTGCTGCAACTCCCCACTCACATAATCTTGCAATGCAGCATGCATGCATGCATGCATATGCTCTCACATTGCTCATGCTTTCTTATTCCGTGTGCCCTCCACACCTCTCTCTCATCCCCTGCTCTCACATTTTCTGCTCTGTACCTTTGCATTCCAATTGTTGTCCACTGGAAACTCAAGAATCCGCTGCTCTCGCATTTTCTGTTCTGAATGCGCCCATCACAGGGACCTAGACAACAACAGGCTGGGAGGCACCATCCCTGACACAATGAGCACCCTCACCAACCTGATCTACCTGTCAGTTGCTCGTCCCCTCCCACGCCCTTCCCTGCCTCACAGCCCGTTCCTACCCTTCCCTTAGGCTCACCCCACTACTGTGCATCACCCTCCCTCCTGCACACATGTCCGCGTAGCAAGAATCAACCGCTTGGCACTGTTCTGGCTTTTCCTTCAGTCAAGCAAGAGTTATTCTCCGCACAGCTAGTGTGTGATTGCGTTTACCTCGGGCTGCGTGCTGCGTGCTGCTCTCAGGTCCATGGGCAACAATGAGCTGGAAGGGCCAATCCCTGCCTTTGTCTCTTCCTTCGCTAAACTTAACGACCTGTCAGTGTTCCCACACACTCACCTGTCAAGGCGTAGCCACCAGAACCGCTATCATATCTTTCCTCCTGTGAGCATCGACCCCTCTTATCTCCCCAAGACCTCACCCAGATTCTATTTTCACACCCTCTCCTCCCTCCCTCCCTCCCTCCCTCCCTCCCTCCCTCCCTCCCTCCCTCCCTCCCTCCCTCCCTCCCTCCCTCCCTCCCTCCCTCCTTCCCTTCCTCCCTCCCTCCCTCCCTCCCTCCCTCCCTCCCTCCCTCCCTCCCTCCCTCCCTCCCTCCCTCCCTCCTCCCTCCTCCCTCCTCCCTCCCTCCCTCCCTCCCTCCCTCCCTCCCTCCCTCCCTCCCTCCCTCCCTCCCTCCTCAGGCGCTCCCTCCTCCCTCCTTCCCTCCCTCCCTCCCTCCCTCCCTCCCTCCCTCCCTCCCTCCCTCCCTCCCTCCCTCCTGCCTCCTTCCCTCCCTCCCTCCCTCCCTCCCTCCCTCCCTCCCTCCCTCCCTCCCTCCCTCCCACCCTCCCTCCCTCCCTCCCTCCTCCCTCCTTCCCTCCCTCCCTCCCTCCCTCCCTCCCTCCCTCCCTCCCTCCCTCCCTCCCTCCCTCCCTCCCTCCCTTCCTCCCTCCCTCCCTCCCTTCCTCCCTCCCTCCTTGCTGGCTGCCGTTGCCTGACTGCCTCCCAGCATGCTCTATGACAACCAGCTCTCAGGCTCCATTCCTGCTGACATTGGCAACCTCGTCGCTCTAGAGAAACTGTGAGCACCGCACTACACCAATCTTCACTGCACTGCACTTTTCTCCCTTCCTCCCTTTCCCATTCTCTCCTTTCCCACTCATTCTCTTCCCCCCTCCACAAATTACCTCCTTGTTGCATCCTTGCTCTTCCTTTCATTGTGCTCCCCCCCCCTAGTGTGTACACACTTACCTCTTCACACTGTTCGCACACACTTACTCACTGTTCACTCACATCTCCCTACTGCTCTCTTCCACACTCTAACTCTCCTTACCGCCTACCCCGATACACCCCCACCCTTCATCTCTCCTCTGCTCTGACCCCTTCTTCCGATCCCTCGCCCAGTGTTCTATCCAACAACAAGCTGACGGGAGCCATTCCCACTTCTATAGGCGCCTTGACCAACCTCACTGTCCTGTGAGGGAGGGAAGGAGAGAGGGAGGGAGGGAGTGAGAGAGAGGGGGATGCGTGAGTGAGTGTGCACGGAAGGGGTAGTGAGAAATGTGCAGATCGACTGTGAGGGAGTGTTCTGTGAGGGAGGGAAGGAGGGGGGAGAGCGACTGAGTGTGCAAGGAAGGTGTAGCGAGAATAGTTTAGATCAGTGGTAACCATGTGGATGTCTTCACGAGAGATAGAGGGAGATGTGGTTACCACATTGTCACCCATCCTCACGTGAGAGTCTTGAGAAATCGCAACTATAGTTAGGGATGAGCAGAGGGTGAACTCGAACACATTCGGATTCGCCCCCCCTCGAACATATCCAATTCCCGAACCGAACAGGGTTCGGTTCAGCGAACTATTTGCCCTACAGCAGGTGTTCGCCGTTCGCCCTAGGGGGCAAACGATTTGTTTCTGCGGGCGAACTCGAACATGTTCGAGGCGAACATGTTCGAGTTCACCCTGGGGGAAATTCGTTATAGTCACAGTGGTCAGACAGGGGATTTGGAGGGTCGGGAAGATAGATAGGGGTGTGGAGGGTGTATCTGTGTTCATGCAACGCACATAAGCATACGACACTATCATGTTCTGTGAATATAAAATTCAATGTCAAAATTAAGTCCTACGCCTGAACTCCACTGCTACTACCAACAATAGCATGCTCCCCGCCAGTGGTGTCGCCAGCACCCACCCCCTCCTGCTCCTCCTCCCCCTCCTCCTCCTCCTCCTCCTCCTCATCGTCGTCCTCCTCCTCCCCCTCCTCCTCCTCCTCCTCCTCCTCCTCGTCGTCGTCCTCCTCCCCCTCGCCTTCAATGGCGAACTCTGGTGGTGCGACGCCTCTTGCACGTCGGCCCTCGCCTATCCTCTGTCCAGGGTGTGAACTGTACCTTGATCTGAGAATCATGACAGCTCGCGTCCTCTCAGAGGCCAGGCGGTGCCGCTCCCACGAAATGAGGTTGCGGCCGAGGGAGAACACGCGCTCGCTCGAAGCGGACGTGGCAGGGATGGCGAGATAATCCCGGGCCATGCGCCTCAGCGTCTGCATGTTGGTGGCGTTGCGCCAATACTCCAACGCTGACACGTCGCACCGCACCCTCTCAGATAAGGACCTGCTAACCTCGTCATCCTGCACCATCCCACCCCTCCCCGCCTCCTGGCTCGCTGACAGACGCGCCGCAAGTCGTCGGCGACTAGGGAGAAACTGCGCGTCTTCGTGGTCATCCGCCGCGTCCCCCTCCTCCTCCGTCACAGGGGCAAGTAGGGTCGGCCGAGGTGCAAGCGCTGCAGCCCGGGACTGGTACTCGGTCACGCGGTCGCTACCAGCTGGATCACCTCGCCTGACGAGGGACGCGGCCTCGCCCTCCGGTCGGTCTCGGGATGCAGCGTCTCCCAGTGCGGGTCGTCGAACCACGCCGCCTTCATGGAAGGGTCCAGGAAGGTGGCGATCCACAACTCGTTGCTGGATATCAGTTCATACTTCTTCAAGAGACCCAGCGCCGCCTCAATGATCGGCTTCAGCATAGCCGATGGCCCCTTGGCAAGGCGCGACTCCATAGCGTCGATCAAGCCGTTGTAGTACGGCAGCACCATCGCCACTGTAGGGTACGCTGCTCCCTCCGCGGCCTTTGAGACTTTGGTGAATGGGCTGAGGAACGTCTTGACAGCATGCAAAGTCTCCCAGTCTGCGTCCGTCAGGCGCAGGCTCTCCACCTTCGCCTTATCAGCCTTCGACAAGCCCTCTCGGGTGGAGGGTATGGGTTGGCGGGTGTTAAGATGGAAACCTGGGTTATTGAGGTTGTTGGGGTCCGATAGCATACATCAAGCATGGCCAACAGTGGTGGAAGTGCTAGAACACAACACCCCGACATACCCACACATTAAACCGCATACACAACACCTGTCACACACACCTGTGTCTGGGCAAAGAAGACAGTGATGGAATTCTGCAGAACCCCAGCTCGCTCGACCATGTCGTGGGTCGACCCCCAGCGCGTGGGACTGTCCTGCACCAGCTTCAACGCCGACTTCGATTTGGCGGGGTTGGCCTGCGTGTTCAGGGTCCGCTGAAGGCCCATGAACTTCCCTGAGCGCCGCGGCGAGAAGCCTATCCACGACGCGATCTCTCTCAGAATCTTCAACAACTTGCGGATGGTAGTCACAGCGAGAGTTGCCTTCACAGCAAGGTTGATCACGTGTGCCAAGCACCTGCGCACGCACGGTACACAACATTAATGGCGGAGAGAAAGGGAAGTGTGAGTACATATGGGCATAGACCCGACACACCCTACCACTCGAGCCGCACTGGCCCACCTGCCCATACAACCACAAGTTGTTCACGCAGGAACGACGCACCCAAACTCCCACATCGCACAGCCCACGCACACTCCCATTCTTACCGGAAGTGCATGCGCGAGTTGAAGAAGCAGTGACCACAACCCTCCTCCGACATCCACCTGAAAGCGGCAATGTTGCTAGAGGCGTTGTCTGAGGTGAAACCAAGACAACGCCCCTCCAACCCCCACTGCACCACCGTCTCCTCAACCACCCTCGCCATCTGCTTGCCCGTGTGCCGCCCGTGAATCTCGCGGAACTCAAACACCATTGTGCGCAGCTGGAAATTCTCGTCTACCCAGTGACCACTCACCACTAGCCACGCCCTGTTGTTGGGTGCCGTCCACATGTCGATAGTGTACGACACCCTGCACCCCAACTCCCCCTCCTTCGCCAGCATCTCCGCAATGGCTGACTGAAGAGCGGCAGTCGCATAGATCACAATGTTGCGGGAAACCGTCCAGCGCGAGGGGGATGAAGTTCTTCTGCGCGCAGTTGCGGTTTAGCAGGATCAAAAGCTCCCGAAACTAGTGAGGGGTAGAGACAACGAGGGAGAGGAGAGTCAACGTCAGGGGGATGGGTTTGACATAATATGGCACAGGGCCACACGCTAATAATCAAAACACAAAGGGCCAGACACTTCTGCTGTCCACATACTGCCAATCATGCATGGGATGGGGCACTCACACCCTCGGTCTCAACGATGCGGAAGGGGAGGTCGCACGTGACCACCAGCTTCGTGATCGCCTGCCGTAGCTCCACCGAGGTCAGTTTGGTTGTCATGAACCGCTCGATCCCGCCTGACCCCTGACCTCCACCAGGCGCCTTCCCTTTCACCTTGGCGAGATGCGGCCAAGACTTGGCATGCGGCCACTGATCGACGTAGCCATCCGGCACACCCTTGCAGCCCCCACGGGGAAACGTCTCCCCTGGCAACTGAACGGACGGGTTGTGGTAATGGTGATGCCACACGTGCATGTGCGCTGTGTGGTAGCTCTCGAAGTGCCGCTCGCCGGGCGTTGTTGTGGATTACTTCCACGAAATCCTGTCAGTGCAAATCTTGCACTGCCGCCTCTCGTCTGCATCTTTCGGTCCGAACATCTGTACTTGCCACCCCGGCTTCCTATTACCCCTGCCAGTCCCCTTACTACTCTCAGACCCTCCGTCCTCGTCTAAGAACTCCGGAGCGATCACACCTCCCGTGAACGTAGCGGGATACGCCCGCTCTCTCAACTTGTTCGCCCTCTTCCTCCGCTTCGGCTCCTTAATGGTCGCGGCCTTTCTCCCCACCTTAATCCCCACGCTCCCTCCCCCTTCACGCACATGTTGTGATCCCGCCTCTGTCGCCGCCCCTCCACCACCCTCTCCCACCTCCTCCTCCCGCCCCTCTGGCTCCAACCCATCCATCTCGTGGTCTTCATCATCATCGTCTTCCCCCTCCCCACCGCCATGCGTCTCTGGGTCCCACCCGGCTGCGGAGATAACTACTGCAACGAGAGCTAGAATACGGGCTAGGCACGGGTGCTCGTGTGATCTCTGCGTTCGTTCACTTAGTCGTTTCCTTGTGTTCACGCTTCTTGCTAGTTCACGGGGAGAATTGGCAAGAGTTTCACTAGGAAAACATAACAACAATAGTACAATGAAGTTGGCATAGCAAGACTACATCAGAGCAAGCATTCAGGTCGGCCAACTGCCAGCGCAGCTTGGTCGACCGCGTTCCAGCACAGCTTGGTCGACCGCGTTCCAGCAAGGCAAGGTCGACGGCGTGCCAACGTCGCAGGTTGACGGCGTGCCAGCGTTGCTTGCGCAGAACAGCAGTGCACCCGCTTCGCAGATGCGCGCAGATGATTGGCGTGCAGAGTTTCGTCACCTGCACAACGCACACACCACGTCAACCTCGTGCTGACGACTGTTTCTGATTGGCCACGTCGACCTCGGGATACCACCATCGAGGTCGGGCTCGCCAACTTCGTCTGGGCGACCGTCGCACTCCTCCGCAGCACTTCGTCACCCAGGTAACATGGTCGACCGGGCAACCAGCAGCTCCTGTACGTGCCCGACCACCTCCCAAGTCGACGATCACCTCCACGTCGACCTCACCAGGTCGACCATGCCCCTGGTCGACCAGCTCCACGTCGACCAGCACAGTTGTCGGCCGACCACCCACGTCGGCCACCCGAAGTTGGCGTCACGAAGTTGACGCCCCACTACTCGACGCCAAACTGCTCGGCGTCCTGAGTCGAGGTCGACGTCGGCCCCTCCTTCGTCGACCACCAGGTCCAGTCGACCACCCGCAGGTCGACCAGCAATCCATCAGCCGACCACCGAAGTCGGCTTCCCCAAGTTGACGTCACCAAGTTGACGTCCTCCGCAGGTCGACTCCCAAGTCAACCTCCCCGAAGTTGGCGCCACCTTGAAGTCGGCGCCCGTGCAGTGGTCCCCGTGCAGGTCGACCTCCTCGTCAACCAGCTCGCCCACTGCTGCAGGTCGGCTGCTCCCCTCACACCCGACCACGATGTCGGCTCCGCCCAAGTGAGGACGGGGCCAACACACAACTCCCGTTGACACTCCCCTTCCGCGTTCACGCTTGGGCCCCCAGCCCACACGGCAGTACTCCTCGGAGAAAAGCTTGTTGTCGTGCACCCAACACACAGCACGCCGGTCACCGCACCAGCCATGCAAGAGGGCATGGCACCTACTGCTGCACGTCGTTGTCGCCGTCGCCCACGTCGGCCAAGCGCACCTAGCCGATTGCGACGGAGCACCGGTTGAAGGCCGGATAGTGCAGCGCCTTCGTCAGGAAGTCGGCCGGCTGCTCAGCGGTTGGGATGTACTACAGCGAGAACTTCCCGTGCTTCACCATGTGCTGCAGCCAGGCCTGTCGCCGCTCCATGTGCTTGAGGTTGCCTGTCAACCCCATGCCCTCGGCGACTGTGATGGCCGACTTGTTGTCCACGCGTAGGACAGTCGGCTTCCCGACGTCCAGCTGCCGGAACTCAGCGAGGAGGAAGCGAAGGCGGCGTCCTTCCTTGCCAGCTTCAGTGGCCGCCACGTACTCCGACTCGGTCGACGACAACGTCGCGCACTTGATGCGCTGGCTCGACCAGGAGACTGCAGCCCCTCCGTAGACGAACACGTAGCCGCCCGTGCTCGTCCTGTTCTGCTTGTCACCAGCGTCGTCGGCGTCCACGTAGCCGACCAGCTCCAACGACTCAGGTCCACCGCCGAACTCCAGGGCGGTGTCATGTCTGTTGGCGAGGTAGGCGAGGCAGCGGTCGACCTCGCGCCAGTGCTGGTCGCTCCTCACCGTGAGGCCGCTCCCCAGCTTGCTGCAGGCGAAGGCAATGTCCGGCCTCGTCGTCGTCGCCGCAAACTGCAGCGAGCCGACCTTCTGCCGGTACTCCTCCTGCCGTTCCTGCGCCTCCTCGTCGTCGAAGGTGAGCTCGGCGTAGGCGCCAACCGAGACCGGCGTCTTCGGGGTGCGCCCGGTCTGCTCCTCGTCGATAAAGCGCCCACGCAGCTTGTCGGCGTAGCCCTGCTGGTGTAGCCACAACTTCCCCGCCGACCTGTCGCGCACGATCTCCAGCCCGAGGTACTTCTGCACCGGCGAGATCTCGCGCAGCTCGAAGGCGGCTTCCAGCAGCTCCTTCAGCTCCTTCAGCATCGCGGCGCTGCTGCTGGCGGCAAGCAGGTCGTCGACGTAGACCAGCACCCAGCAGGCCAGTCCACCCTCGCCGACCTTGGAGTAGAGAGCCTCGTCGACCTGGCTCTTCTTCCACCCGGCGCCGACCAGCACATAGTTGAGCGCCAAGTACCACAACAACGGCGACTGATTCAGCCCGTATAGGCTCTTCAACAGCTTGCACACCCGGCCGGTTCCGTCGTTGAAGTAGTCCGGCTGAGACATGTACAGCACCCGATCGAGCTTGCTCTGCAGGAAGGCGTTCTTCATGTCGAGCTGCATCAGGTTGAGGTTGAGGACGGCGACGATGCTGAGGAAGATCCTCAGCGTGACGTAGCTGCTCACCGGCGCAAACGTTTCGTCGTAGTCGGCGCCGTACACCTGTGTGAAGCCCTTCATGACCAGCCTCGCCTTCTCTCGCTCCACGGTGTCGTCGATGTGGTACTTCGTCGTCAACACCCACCGGTTCTTCACGACGTTCACTCCCAGCGGGCGTTCGACCAGCTCCCAAGTGCCCATGTTGATGAGGCTGCGAATTTCCTCCTCCATGGCGGCCTTCACCGCCGGGTCCTTCCAGCTCGCCAGCGCCTCTTTCACCGTTATCGTCGAGATGTCCCAATGGTGCTCGGGGTCGGCTAGCATGTCGGGGTCGAGCTCTGGAAACTCCTCATCCTCCTCGGCGTCGTCGTACAGCAGGTCGTCGTCATCATCGTCCACGTCGTACACCGTGCTGAAGGCAGCGGGGCGAAGAAGTCAGGCGACCTCCGAAGTCGGCCTGAACGCCGTGATCCCGGCTGGACCTCCTCGGCGTCCCCTCCATCGTCGCTGTCGTCGCTGCCCTTGGCGTCCTGCTGCTCCTCAGCCCGCGTCCCAGCCGACTACTCCCCTGTGGTCGGCGTCCCAGCCGAATGACCGGTCGCCGACTGCTCCTTGGTCGGCGTCACTGCTGCCTGCTCCCCTGTCAGCTGCTGTTCTGCAGGCGGCGTCTCCTTCACCGGCCTCACCAAAGTCGGATGCACCACCTGCTTCACGGCATCACGTCGGCCACCGGCGATGCTTGGGGCCGGCGCCACAGGTGACGCCCCACGTCTCCCCTCATCGCCGGAGGTCGACGTCGAGGCCAGCCCAGGCAAGTCGGCCACGAGAGGAGGGGCAGGGGTCGTAGGAGAAGGGGAAGGAGGACGGACGACCTCGGCGTCCTCAGCAGCAAGCTCGCCGACCTCAGTGAGCAGGGGCAGTGTCGCCGTCGAGGTGTTAGTCGGCGGGGTAGTAGGCGTCCGACCTAACACCGGCCCTTGCTCCGACTTCCACACCTCCAGCGACATATCCTTGTAGAACACCACGTCCGACGTGGTGACCAACCGGTTGGCGTCGAGGTCGAGGAGCTCCCAGCCCTTTCTCTCCCCCGACACGCCAAGGTGAAGGCCCCACCTGGCCTTTGGCTTCAGCTTCCCACCACGCTGCTGCTCGGGGACAAGGAACTGGGCCATGCAGCCCCACACCCGCGCTAGCAACAAGTCGGGCTTCTGCCTGGTCAGCAGCAGGTGCGGCGTCGTCCCCGGCGACAGCGTCGACCTCTCAAGGCAGTTGCGGACCCAGACGGCCTGCCGTAGAGCGAGGTGCCACCAGTGGTGCTGCACACCCATGTGCAGCAGCATTGTCCGCACCGCCTCCACCACCGTCCTCATCTCCCGCTCCGCCATGCCGTTCTGCTGCGGGGTGTACGGCCAGGTAAGGTCGTGGACGATCCCCTTTCCGTCCACGAAGTCGGTGAAATTCTTCCCGAGGAACTCCCCTCCTCGGTCTGAGCGCAGCATCAACACCGACTTCTTCACCTGTCTCTCCACCAACACCAGCCACTTCTGGAACTCCAGCAGCACATCCGACTTCTTGGCGACCGTCCTTACCCACACGTAGCGGGTCTTGCGGTCCTTCAGCAGCAAGAAGTACAAGCTGCCGTCCTTCGCAGCCACGCGGAACGGCCCGCACAGGTCGATGTGCACGACGGCCAGCACTTCGTCGGCGTCGGACCCTTTGTCGGGGAAGGAGTGCCGCGCCAGCTTCCCACCGACGCATGAGACACACGGTGAGTCGGCGCCCGTTGCCGACTTGAGGTCCAGCCCAACGGCGACCTCGTTCTTCGCCGAGCTCCGTATGGTGTCCATGCCGACGTGCGCAAGCCTCGCATGCATCCGGTCCGGCGTCGACTTCGCCTTCGAGGCGATCGCCCGCAGAGCCACGACCTCCAGCGTGGTGGACACTGACGTCGTCGTGCAGGGACGCAGGTCGGTGCAGAGGACTCGCCTGGAGTACGTCGCCCGCCAGAGCACCTCCCCTGCTGCCAAGACGAGCAGCATGCCGTCTCCGTCTTCCTGCAGCTTCACGCCGTGCTTCTTCAGCTGGCCGGCCGACAGCAGGTTGGCCTGCACACCCGGGACGTACAGCACGTCGGGGATGAGCACCTCCTTCCCGGCCTCTCCTTGCAGGGCGACAGTACCACGGCCATGGACGTCCTGTAGCGCCCCATTGAAGCCGCGCACGTGCTTGATGGAGCCGCTCGGCTGCAGGTCAACGAAGACCTCCTTCATCCCCATCAGGTGGTGGGAGCAGCCGCTGTCGAGTAGGACCACCGCCGGGTTCGTCTACACCGCTGCTGCCACCGCCTGGAAGTCCTCTCCGGCCTCCGGCGCCAGAGAGATGGTCGGCTCCACGACGCCGACCAGCG